AACAATTTTTTTCTTAAATATTGCCTTAACAAGTCTTTCAGAAAATAGGATGTATTCCTAGGACACCGTTGGTCAAGAGGTAGTTGGGTGTAAGGTCGGGTGGTCTTCATGAGGTCTCCTGTGCCAAAACGTTAGCAGCAGGAAAGTGAATGAAAGCCCCATTTCACAGTATGTAAAGAATCAAGCATTAGGACTGTTCTCAGGCTCTTCTCTAATAATAGACTTTCATCCATTCCAGGAGCCTGCCCAGTTCAACAGATAAAAGAGGTTTATTGCCTTGAAGTGAGAAGAGCTCATTCCCTCACCTTCTGAGAAGTGGCTTATTTTTCCCCTGTTGAATTCAGTGAAGGCAGTGTGCACAGACAAGACACAGGGTTTTGGGAGGACAAAAGAGGGGATTCAGTCGCCTACATAGGTGCAAAACGGGATACAACAAAAGAAAAGACAGAACCCTCTTCTATAAATTGCTCAAAATCTCATTGTGGAGAAGAAACTCTCACAAAGGAAACCACGTAATGCAATAATCAAGCACTAAATGGTGTGTTATAGACAAAAAACTGACTAGAGGCCATATGCAGATTTTTTTAGTTTTAGTTTTTAGAGACAGGGTCTCACTCTGTCTCCCATGCTGCGGTGCAGTGGCACAAACACGGCTCACTGCAGCCTCGACCTCCTGGGCTCTAGTGATCCTCCCATCTCAGCCTCCCAAGTAACTGAGACTACAGGCATGCACCACCACACCTGGCTAACTTAATTTATTTTATTTTTGTACAGATGGGGTCTCGCTATGTTGCCCAAGATGGGCTCAAACTCCTGGGCTCAAGCAATCCTTCTGCCTTGACCACCCAAAGTGCTAGGATTACAAGTGTGAGCTACCACAACCAGCCATGAAGATCATTTTAAATGGGTAGATTCCATGGCCTCATACTAAGCCTACTGACGCTTATACTTAAAGGAGAGAGGCCTACACATTCCTAATTGTTTCTTAAGGGAAATAGGATTTGGGAACCATTGGCTTAGGTCACAGGTGATGGGAGTTCAGAGATACAGAGAAAGATTGGAGGGAGAAGAGCAACGATGGAGAGATTTTTTCTAGGAAAGCTTTTATAACGAAGATGGGGTAAGAGGTAAAGGAAGGATGGGATGTAGGTAAGCAGAGCCACGAAGCAGGGCAGAATGATGAAAGACAAACTACACACATACAGGCTGGAAAGTGCCGGTGAGTAAGGGGTGTTTGTGTGCATTTGTATTTACACTGCTGCATCAGCCACCTCACAACTCAAGAACTGTTTCTGAGTTGAATTTAGTCCCACTAGGGTGGAGACTTGACCTTATTGAGCAGACAAACATGTGCTCAGATAATGAAGTTCATTAATTCATTCGTTCATATGAAGAGAGGAAGCCTTTGGCAGCAGTGTAACTCCACGGTCAGGCCCATACAGACTCAGAAACCACAGAGCCCGTGTTCAGAAACGAAACGTGCCATCACCCTGTAAGTCGATGCACGCTCCAGAACTTCTCCAGTCTTGGTTTTGTGAAGTGCAAAATAAGAACAATACAACCTACCTCATAGGACTGTTACGTGAGATGAAATTAAATGGACTCATACTTGTAAACGTCTGGCACAGGGCCTGGCAGCTGGGAGGGTTTCAATCGAGGCTGAACGAACCAAGGATCAGTTGGATTGAAGGAGAAAACTCTCAATGGCTAGTCTATGGGGAGGTTTCTGGTGACCTGCAAGAGACTGGAAAAGTTGCTGCCTCTAATTATTTTTGAAATAACTTTGGTATATGTAGATTATTTTTAAAAACTAATGTCAGACTAGAAATGATAAAACATGGCCCTAGAATGGTTTCTTTTTAGGACTGGGCTGTCCCTTGGTCTAGCACTCACTCAGCTTCCAGATTGTTCCCTTGTAGATGTGGAAAGATCTATACTTTATCCTGAACTCAGGCATACATATACCTTGCTCTAATCTAGAGTGTGGTTCAGCAAACTTCCAGAGATGACCAAATAATACTTTTTCTTTGGCTTTGGGGGCTTTCCCATCTCTGTGGCAACTGCTCAGAGTTAGCCATTACAGCTCAAAAGACATCCCTCCATGAATAAGAATGGCTGTGTTCCAATAAAACTTTATTTATAGACACAGAAATTTGAATTTCACATCATTTTCACGTCTCGTCTTTGGTTTTTTTTCCCAACCACTTAAATATGTAAAAGCTATTCTTGGTTCATAGATGCGGAACTAGCAACAGGCCTTGAGTTGGTTCTGAAAAGGTGCATCCTAACTCCATTTTAAATAAATGGAAAACACACTGCTAAACTCAAACGCAGGGGGGCAACATGTCTTCCCTGTTCCCTTCCTGAGCACCACACAGAACCCCATGATAAACATACTTTCTTTGAAGTCACATGTATCTTCTTACTCAGTTATTCTGCAAGCATTTATGCACCTGTAAGGTACACGACAGGACAGGGGCCACAGAGATGAACAAGATACCACCCTGTTCCCCAGGAGCACACATCAGGGCTGGGGAAACAGACATCAACAAATCATTATGAGACAACATGGAAAGACCTCATAATAGGGCCGTGTTCCAGTACAATGGGGGCATAGTGAAGGGAGGGAGGAATTAGTTCTGAAAGGGCGAGGTGGGCAGGGTGGGGGTTGCAGACAAGGATACACAAAAGGGTTAGTGTTGAGGCCAGGCTTGATAGCAGAAGAGTGAAGCGGGGACATTCTCAGCGGACAGGCCTGCCTGTGCAAGTCAGGAAGGTGCAAGCCGTCTTGGAATCCGTAAGTCCCCCACAACCCCAACACCCGCGCATGTGGCTAGAGTGTGGGATGGGATGGTGGGTAGAGGGGGAAAGAAAGGGTGGGTTCAGATGGTGGTCCACAGCAGTGTCCAGATTTTGCTTTTTAAGGCATTGAAGTGTCACTAGAGGTTTTTAAACATGCTAGTAATGTGATCAGCTCTGTATTCCAGGAATGAAACACGTAATGAGCAATGTAGAAGATAGATGACAGTCGGGAGACAGTTAGGCAAAGAAACTAAAAAGAAATCATTAGAATAGACCAGACCAAGAGATTCAGGAGGCTGAACTCACCACTGATTGCTGTTGTAACTCAAGCTGGTGGGACCCTGTGTGAGGCACTCAACCTCTCTGAGTGACAGCTCTGTTCTCTCTCTGAGTGGCTGGTTAGGTGATTTCCGAAGTCACTTCCTGCCCTCACATGCTCTGTTCTGTGACTTTGCCCTTCGCTCTTAGAGAGCAGCCACATGGGTTCCTTCCAAGTTGTCAACAGAAGTATTTCTTCCTTCTAGCTTCCTTTTGATTTTTTGCTGTATTCATGCCAGTGCCCAGTGGCAGCTGGAAAATCATTAGAATGGCATCTGGTGCCATTTCCCTTACCCCTGCCTGCATGAGCATCAGGAAGGAGAGTGCTTGGTTGAGGAGCAGGCAGGAGGCAAGGCTGACAGGTGGGGATGCCCACCAGAGTGCTGGCAAGTGCAGGAGGTGGGGCCGGAGCCCCAGAGTTCTAGCCAATTTTGGGAGAATCCGTATGGAAATACTAGGGCTGCTGCATAAATCAATTACATAGCCCAGTTTAAACATCATTTTTGCATCTGATAGTAATAAATGAGGAAGGGAATTGTTTCTGTATTCACTGAGACAATTTGTGTTTCCCTGAAGAGTTTTGAGGGAAACATACTAAATGACACTAATAAGGTAACAACTATCTGCATTATTCAAGCTGCATTAAGACCGGAGCTCAATATTTTAACTAGTAGCCTGCTGTCCTTGCGTGTTTAACAAAACAGAGAGAAACATATTACTCTCTGCTCAAAACACTGTGGAGGCTTCATGTCACACTCAGGAAAAACTCCAAGCTCCCTACCGCCTACCTCTCTGAGTTCACCCTCTCCATCCAGCCCTGTGTACCCCATGCTAAGCACACCAGACAGCTTGCTGCTCTTAGACACGCTAAGCTCACGCCTACAAACAATAGCTGTCCCCCAACCAAGTTGGATAAGAATCTGATTCCTTTCGCCACTTCTGTCCGGAATGCTCATCCCCCAGATCTCTGAGTGACTGGACCCCTCAAGTTATTCAGATTTCTGCTTAAATACCACCTCCTCCCAGGAGTGTCCCTGACCACTTTATCTAAAATAATACACCTCCTGTCCCACCCTGATCTGTTTTCCTCCAGCAATTTTCCCTGCTTAATTTTTCTTCACAGCATTTATCACTGCAAATCATATTATACATTCATTTAATTATTTTCCTCAACTCTCACTAGGCTGTAAGCTTCATGAGCGGGGGAAGTTTGTTTGGGCTACCTGCTGTGTCCTCTCCTCCTAGAAAGATACCTGGCATATGCTAGGTTCTCTAGTGATATTAGTTCAGTGAGAAAGCTGCCTCATGAAAGAATGGCACACAGAGAAGGGGATTCCGCCACCTTCCTCTGAATGTCTACCAAACTTATCAACAGCAGTCCAATAGCAGCATTAATGTTTAATACAATAATAAATAATAATCTACTATAGAATATAACAATAATGTTATATGAAATATTAACAAAATAATGTATCATAAATCTGACATTAATATTAAAATAACAATTAGTAACAACAAGCAACCATTTAAGGTCTTACAATGTAACAAGTATTATTAAATTCTATCCACATTATCTTATTTAGTCCTCATTAGGAGGCTAGAGGGTATTATTGTTTTCTCTATTTCATACTTAAGGACATCAAAATTAAGAAGCTCAATTGCCCAGCCACGGTGGCTCACACCTGTAATTCCAGCACTGTGGGAGACAGAGGCGAGTGGATCACCTGAGGTCAGGAGTTCAAGACCAGGCTGGCCAACCTGGTGAAACCCCGTCTCTACTAAAAATACAAAAAATTAGCTGGGCATGGTGGTGGAGGCATGTAAACCCAGCTACACAGGAGGCTGAGGTAGGAGAATGGCTTGAACCTGGGAGGCGGAGGTTGCAGTGAGCCAATATCACACCTTTGCACTCCAGCGTGGGCAGCAAGAGCAAAACACCATCTCAAAAAAAAGAAGCTCAAAAATGTTTTGAGGCTCCAGCATAGGTTTACCTGATTCCAACACCTCTGTGCTTCCCTTTGTGCAGCCAACTATATGCTGACCCAAGCCTTCTTGAAATGAACTTCGTGTGTCTTACGTACCTTACAGGACAGAAACAGGAAAGCAGGGGGGCCACTTGGTGGTAACCAAGCCTTCTAGCTAGAGAATGAAATTACAAAAAGCACAGACTTTCCCAGCACAGACTTTGGGCAACTGTTTGAAAACATTAAAATAGGATGGGACAGCACTCACTTACTCAATGATACTCATCAAACAAAACAGAAAGAGGATTCAGCTTGACCACTTAGGAAGCCCAAGGAATGTTATCTAGATCTCTTGGAGGCCACAAGACTCATCTTACAGATGGGAAGGCCTTTGACTCATCGTCCTCCTTTATCCAGGCAGACACCAAAAACAGTTTCCTGCAAACTAACAACTCTCTGGTAAGTCTGCAGGATTCTTAGGGAGATCCTTACAATGCAATATGCTCCATGCTTAATTTGTGTCCGGAAAGGCCTTGCACAATCACTCACGCTTATTTTTGCTCTAAGGACAAATGAGGAGAAACAAGGTCTAATACAGGCTGGAACAGGTGTGTCAACCTCATTACAATGGCCTGGGGGGTCATGTCCCTGGAATTGGTGCCACTTTGAACTGCCAACCCTTTATCTGGAAACCACTTTTGTAGGACAGCTGCTCTCTCATTCCTTTTGCTTAGATCATAAAAGTAGAGTTTTCATCCAATGGGAATTTGTGTGTTGGAGGCAAAGGGAATCAGATTCTGATCCAACTTGGTCAGGAAAAATTAATAAATAAGGGCTGATTTTTCCATCCAAGTCATGTAGTCTGGCTGGAGTGCATCCCACTCAGGGACAGCTATTGTCTGGATTCACCAAGTCTCAGTCTTGCCCAGGAAAAAGGAATTTTCCGCCTCACTGCTCTATCCTTGAGAAGAGTTGCAGAAGGTGACCATTTCTGTTGTCTGGGTGATTCTCTTTCTCTATAGAAATCATAAAATGGAACCTTTATAGAAATTATGTTCTGTGCTTCACTGGAGAGAGACTGGTCTTTTTAACCCGGCTCATCAAACAGTGGGCATTTTCGTTCCCCTGGATAATAAGTGTTGGTGGGTTAATGGGTCATCCTCAGGAGAGAGGTCAGAAGGAAAAACACTGCAGTGTTCAAAGCTGGAGCTAGAAATGCCAGCCGTCAAAGGACACAGAACTCAGTGGATGGTGATGATGTATAGGACGTGCCCTGGTCAACCCCATCTGAGAGATCACATCTAACCTTTATCCTCAGCAAAGCCACTGAAGGTCGCTCAATATGTGTGACCAGCAACTCTGAGGCCCTGGTGAGAAGCTGTCCAGGAAAACCCTGGTGCGTGTGCTAAAGGGTTCCTTTTCACTAAGGGAGAATTGTCTTCCAGCTCCTTGCAGACTGACATAGCAAAGTACTTTGAACGTTGAAAAGAACAAAAAAAGCAAACAGCCACCAAAAGGAGGCGGGAGGAGAGGGAAAGAAAAAGGGACAGAGAGAGAGAGAGGTTATCAGCAGGGGTGGTTAGTAAAAAGGGGCCCGGAGACAGAAAACCTTTTGTTCCCGGAGTTCGTTTCATGTAGAGTTTGTGAGGTGAATGGCTTTGAAACGAAATGCGTTTATGAAGGAGTTGCTAGGTCACAGGAAGCGCTACTGTCAGACTGCTTTTGTGAATTCGGTTTCTTTAAAATTTGGGTTAATCTTAAAAAGAATGCATCTCCTTTTCCTGTTCTTTCTCTTTCTTTCTGTCTTCTTTTTTAGCGGGGGTTGCGGGGGGGTGGTGCAGAGTAAGGTTCAAGACGGTTCCCCACTTTCTATTTTCCACCCTCTGATAATGCAAAAAGAAGCGATCACATTACAAGTTCTTTGTCAGTTTTTCAGAATTAGGGGTGGGCAGGGCCTGAGCGTTACCTTGTCCCACTAGCCAATGGTGGGGCGGCATGCAAATGAGGCCCGCGATCAGCCCGCCGCAGTCACAACAGTGAGCTCAGAGGCTTGGGGAGGCGCTGCGAGTGACAAGCGGCTCTGCCCCGGACCTCCTTGCTTTCATCCAGCGCTGCACTCAATGGAGGGGCGGGCACCGCAGTGCTCAATGCAGTCTAACTAGTGTGGGAAAACGGCTCAACCCACCCCTGCCGAAATGAAGTATAAGGTAAGAGAGTGCCTTTTACAGGTTTCCTTGCAAGCTGGAGGCTGTGCCTGCGGGTGTGCGCGTGTGAATGTGTGTTCCCTACTGTGACAGTCCCTTGTGTGTCCCGGAGAGTTCTCAGATGGGTCTCGGTCACCGAGGTTGGCGTGCAAGCCGGCAAAAAGATACCCGGTCTTTGAGACCCACTCCGGGCGTTCGCAGTGCAACCCGAACCCATCTGCTCTGAAAGCTGCTGGGGAAATACCTCGGTGAGAAGTTAGACTTGGACCCGCTTCACAGCAGCCACAGGAGATCAGAGGGTGTCTGACTTGAATCGCGGCAGGCATTGGCTCAGGTCTCCTTGGCTTCCCCAGGCCTGGCCTCCACTGCCCTGGGGAGCAGTAATAAGAGAGGAATGAGGACTGCAGGGTCTCTTTCAGACTGGCTCTTAGTGCAAAGTTTTCCAGCCTTTGCTTGAATCGTTTGGTCTGGGAAGGAGTATGCCATAGGCACTTTTGGTGGGAGAAATTAAAAGCCCAGGTTACACAGCAGAGGATGGAGAATTTTGACATTCTTACGTGATATTGGGTGTACGAATAAATAAGTATGAGCCATTTCTTGAAAACATTTTTATTGGAGTTTGAATGGGGTGTGAGTGTGAAGGTTCAGGCTCCCTTATTGTGCCTGAAAGCTTACAGAGTGTCAGTCACTCTGTAGCGTATCAGCAGGATTATTTTCCAATGCATTTTACACCATTGTTTGTATACTTTTCTTGCCAAAAGGATTATTGACTTGCTCTGTATATTCCCCCCCCCCTTTTCTTTTAAATCACTCCCATCTAAGGAGGCAAGCAGCTTCCAGAGACACAAAGAAAGCAGACTGCAGTGAATTGGGCATGAATTTTTCTTGAATGATGAATAGACATGAGTGCTAGTGCGACTATTTTATGTTATTTTAAGCAAGAGCATTGTTACTAAGATGGATTTGGGCAAGGTTGCTAGGCCTCTGGATTGACAATTTATATTAACTGTACACTAGCTGGAAGCTGTTTGATTTTTCTCTGAATTTTTTTGATCCATCCTTTTTTGATTTAAGGTTGTAAATACTTCGTCTAGCTGATAGCCACTGACTAGCCTCAGTAATAAAGCTTTTGTTCAAAAATTATAAATCTCATTCAAAAGCTTTACCTCTAAATGTCAAAAGTCTTTATTGTAATGCCTACATTACCACTCTCTGAAGACACAGGCATCAGCTAGCTCTGTTTTATCAGCTTTCTATTATCTTCATCAGTAGAGAAGATCAAAAGAAAGGTTCGTCCTGAAGACTATTAACATTTGACTTTAGGATTCCACCAGAAACAAATCCCTCTACCTGGCAAGCAAGTTCTCTTTCTTAAAGTGGTTCACCCCATATTTCCTTATTTAGAACGATGATAGGACCAGATATTACTCAGCCTGGAGTGACTTCTTTGCCCCTCCTTTCCCTGTTGTTGAATAAGAACTGGCTCACAGAAAAAAAGAGAAAGTATGTTCATATGCCTATTATTGGAAAGTATAAATGGCTGGAATTAACACTGAGTGCTGTAATCTGGAAAGTGACGAAAGTGACAAAGTCTCAAGTCACTTTTATTGAATGATCTCATCGTGTTTAGCTTTACTCCTTATGGAAAGAAAACCTAAGGGCAACTGATAAAGTGACTGACAATACAAACTGCGATTGGCATTCGTGGAGAAACCTGCTCTCCCACTGGGCCTCACCGGTGGTGACCACCTTGCCAAATGATGTAAATACATGATTTTTGTTAGCTTGTGGGCATGTTCACCAGCAAAATGCTGACTTTTCTGACTGAAGAAATGACAGACTTGCACCCTGCGATGACCGTAAAATCAACTAATAGCTGAAGAAATCCATTTTCCTTTTTTATAGTTTTCTTTCTCTCTAATTAATAATGAATAATTGTATATTTTAAGATGGGGTTTCACCACAATGGCCAGGCTGGTTTTGAACTCCTGACCTCAGGTGATCCACCCACCTTGGCCTCCCAAAGTGCGGGGATTACAGGTGTGAGACACTTCGCCCAGCCATGAAGTAATATTAATTGAGATTTAATGTGACAATACAAGATTGTCATATTCAACTCTCCCAATAGCTCTACAAGGTGGGTATTATTTTTAAACTCAATTTCAAATGCCACAGAAAGGCTAAGTAATTTACGTAATGCCACACACCTAAAAAGTGGTGAGCTGGGATTAGAACTAAGGTGATCTGGCTCCAGAACTCAGGACTTTAACTTCTCTTAAGAGAAAGAGAAAGAACTATCTTTGACCTCCCTAAAATATAGCTAGCGTTTTCTTCTCCCAGAAAGTTTAGGACTATTTCATCCCAAGTATTCCTGCAGGATAATTTCTTTTTAAGACAATAACTCTACATAGCAAAATGAAATGCACTTTTGGCAGTTGTTTGATTTGAGCCACTTAGGTAGTAAAACCAGGTAATTATTAGATTGCAAAATCCTGGAGACAGGAATTATCTTTAAAATACTATGTTGCACTATGCACTGTAAATTTAACACCGACCTTATAATGTTTATTGAAAGACTTATGAACCAGGCCCTATAATACTTTTTGTCACTGTTAATCTGATTGTCTGGTTTGGCTGCCCCAAGGATCACAACTACGGGACAACAAACCTTCACTTATTTTGCACTTCATATACACAGCTTCAGGCCAGGAAGCAACGTACTTGTAATAATCCTGAGAACCGTGGAATGTTAGCAATTATTCTGGACAGACATTTCTGGTTAGCACTATCTTGTCTTATTTCACTGTATGTTTTTTATCTGTCCACAGGAAGGTTGCAGTCACTGTCATATTACTTAATTTTCCATTTCTCTTAGAAGGGATTCAGTCTGTGGTTGTGTGAGAGTAAATTATGGGGGCTTCATTTATTAACAGTTTTCTATAAAATCCCCTTCATATACAGAGCCTGCTCTTAATTGGGCGGGGGTTGAGGGGGTTAGGGGGTTGCCTCGATGGCCTTGGTTTGCTTACCCAGTGAAGGTTCCCTCCTGAGGATCTGGAAGGAGATGATTGCACTGTTTGCCAGGAAGGTGATGGAAGAATCTCTGTGCAGCTGTATTTGAGCAGAAGAACCCCCGGCCCCCGAGACCCCGCCCTGTTTGTGCCGGCCAGCCCCGAGGCCCCGCCCACCTCAGGCCCAGCCCCGGCGCGGGCTCAGCAGCCGCTTTGCCTGGCCGCTAATGACTGAGCAGAGGCGCTTTTGTGGCTTTGCCAAATTTCTGAGCCCTTACGTGCGTACATTAAAATTCTAAATTATTTATCTCGTCTACCATACAACAAATTCATTCTTTAAAGTTTTGACTGAAGAAAAACTACAGACGGAACTTACAATGCCATTAAAAAAGCTGCACTCTGAAAGTCAGAGCCCTGTGTTCTGGTTGAATGGGGTAGGTCAGGGAAAAGAGAACCTGTCTGCGTGCTGTGAAACGCTTTGAAAGGGGCTTTGAAAGCGAGACTGAGAAAAAAATGACAGAGCGTCTTTGGTTTAGTCAATATGGTCATGGATAACCTATAAAATTCCCAGTTCTTCCCTTGCATTGATATTTTGGTTCAAAATGCTTTCTTCTTTATATGATTTTTGCAACCAATCCAAATTTAGGACTCCTCCCCTTTTCCTTTTTAAACCTTGTATGAGATCTAGGAATTTAAAAGCACTACAACATGCTTTGAAAAATATTGACTTGGTTATTTATGTATTTATGCGTTTATTTATTTAGCAAACCCATTTGCGGAGCTACATGGCCTACCTACACAGAGGTAAAAGCTTTTAGAGAACTGAAGGTGTCTGATAATACCAAATTTAGCAAGTTGCACAGTGCCTAACATACCAAGTTCTTTAGTATCCTTTCCTTGCCGGCATACACGTCAGTCCTGTTCTCAGAATTCAGTGACTCCTTGTCTCTCAATTCACTCCTGTCTAATAGGAAAAAAAACAAACAAACAAAAAAAAACACCTTCCTCTCCACTTTCTTTTTTTTTTTTTTTTTTGAGATGGAGTCTCACTCTGTCATCTGGGCTAGAGTGCAATGGCATCATCTCAGCTCACTGCAACCTCTGCCTCCCGGATTCAAGTGATTCTCATGCCTCAGCTTCCTGAGTAGATGGGATTACACGCTTCCGCCACCATGCCCAGCTAATTTTTATACTTTTAGTAGAGATGGCGTTTCACCATGATGGCCAGGCTGGTCTCGAACTCCTGACCTCGGGTGACCCACCCGCCTGGGCCTCCCAAAGTCCTGGGATTATAGGCACGAGGCACCACCCCCGGCCTCCTCTCCACTTTCCAAGTCTTTTTGCAAATTCCCTCCCCCTTTGGTGCCTTTATGACCTCATTGATTCTCCTTTTTTTTTTTTTCCCCAGGCTTTTCTTATGCTTCTTTAATAGTGACTTCGGTTGGTCTCACTTCCACCCCGCTACCCTCCAGGCCCCCCACTCCCACCTATCTACCCCCTGCCTCCCGCACCCCCCACACACGAATGTGACACCTTTAATGTACACCCCGCAGCCCTCATTTTTCCTTCTCCTTAGACTCTGCTACGGGAAATCTTGGTCCCTCACTGCCCCCATTCATCTGCCTGGCTCTTTGTGCTTGCATGACTTGAGCGGCCTGTCACTCCCACTAGCAAAGTCTCCTCATCCATCCACTCTGTTAAACTCTGAAACCTTTGTCTCCTGGACTGTGCTATAATCCCTAAAATAGGCTGTTATGTTTTTCACCTCTGCCCTACCCTGTTAGTACTGCCTTACTTATTAACCCCTTTCAATTAAATCATTATCTGAAGGATACCTGTAACTCAGATTGCTGACTGGGCCTGTTCAGTTTTAAGCGGACCCCAGTGAATATGAGAGACCCACACTTTATTTGTATGTAGAGGCAGATTGATCAAAAAGTCCTTGAAAAAAAGCATGACCTAGGGTCTGTGAAGTTTTGAAGGGGCAGAGGC